ATGACCCTGTTGATATCTCAGAATTTTTTTGAGGTGCTAGGAATTGGGGGTTAAACCCAGAGCTTCATGTATGCTAATCATGAGCTCTACTACTGAGCTATTTCCTCAGCCCCAAAGCCGTGAAACAATACATTTTTATTGTTTAAAGCTATCCAGTCTGTGGCATTTGTATTGGCCCAAAGAAACGACAACTGCTAAAAATATTTCTGTGGTAGTGATTGAATCTGGGTTCTCATTCATACTAGGTAAGCACCCTACCACTAGGCTACATTTCCAGCCTTCTTTTACTTTTTATTTAAGAAAGCGTCTCCTAAGTTGCCCACATTATTGCACTCTATAGGCAAAGAGACCTTGTCTTCTGTCCCAGAATCCACAGTATTGGGGAGTACAAACCACACTACCACACTCAGTTCTTGTGTGTCTTTAACCTACATTTTTTTCATTTTATAGATACCTTCTTAAGCCGAATCTTCTTTTTTACTTGTTCTTAGATGTATCTAATGTGACTTAAGTTGTTTTTGTTTTGTTTTGTAGACAGGATTTCTTTCCCTGGCTCTCCAGGAAGAGAAGACCAGGCTGGCCTTGAACTCGCAGAGGTCTGCCTCTGCCTCCTGAGTGCTGAGATTAAAGGCGTGTACCTCCACTGCCTGGCATGACTGAAGTTTTAATGATTAGTAACTCTTTTAAGTATGTATTACATTTATTTAGTGTGTGTGTGTGTGTGTGTGTGTGTGTGTGTGTGTTTTGTGTGTGTGTATACATGTATCACAACATGCATGTGAACTCAGAAGACCTTTTGAAGAGTTGGTTCTCTCCTTTTACCATGTGGGTCCTGGGTTGGCAGCAAGCATCTTTATCCACTGAGCCATCTCTCTGGTCCAAATTTCAGTAATTCTGGTAAACATTTGAGTTTCTCTCTCATAATCACTTTTCTACGTATTTTGGTAACAGACCATCTTAAAATTTTGTTTTATTATTATTATTTTTTAGAGAGTCTACCATGTAGCCCAGGTTGGCCTCAAACTCTGTATTTTCTTCCTCAGTTTTGTAAGTATTGGGATTATAGGATTACAGAACCATGGACTACTTTTTTTTTTTTTTTTTTTTTTTAAATGGTAGGGTTCTTTTGTAGTTTGGGGGCCTTGAGCTCCTGATTCTTCTGTATTCCTCCCAAGTGACTGGGATTAGAAGTGTGTACCTCCGTAACTGGCTGTAGGTCTTAATTTTAACCGTATGAGTGGTCACCCACAATAAAAGCTCCATTTCCAATCTGCCCACAGGGAAGAAGGGCTATGTACTAAGTTTTCATACGAGATCTATGCATTAGTGGTGTGTACAGCTTTTTAGAAAGTTTGTTGTTGCTGCTTTCAGTACTGGGTATTGAACCTAGGGCCTCTTGCCAATCTTTTATTGTTTTGGAAACTGAGTCTCATCCTGTAACCCGGGCTGGCTTCAAACAGCAATCTTTCCACTTCAGTCTCCTGAGTGCTGAGACAGTGTTTTGCTCTATATCTCTGCCTGGCCTAGAACTAATTCTAATGATTAAAGATGTTGAACAATTAACCTCTCCAGTTCTTTTTGACTATTTAAGATATCTTTGGGAAAATATCTATTCAGATTATTCTATCATTCTTTAAATATGGGTTGTCTTTGTATTGCTGAGTTCTAGACATGGAAGAGATATGATTTACAAATCGTTTCCCCAAATCCATGTTGCCCTTTCATCTATCTTTAGGCCCCCTCCTAGGCTCATTTTATTTGATTTTGAGACAGTGCTTCACTAAATAGCACAGGCTCACTAAAGCTCAAGTCTCAGCCTCCACAGCGTTGGAACTACAGGCATGGCCACTACATTCAGGTGTTTGCTTTTGATGTGATAGTGTCTCATGTTAGTCGGTTAGTGTCACCACACCAGACTGAAGATGACCTCTTTGAGGATTAAAATTTCAAAATCTGAATTTCAAAGGATCTTAACTCAACTCATACAATTCTGTCTTCCAGACCACTCAGATTTATGTCTCCCCTCAAATGAAAAATGCAGTGTATGCATGCCAAGAGATCATTCATGTTCAAAATCTTACCTAACTAAACACAGGTTAAATGGGTGTGGCGTCACTAGCCTGTAGTCTCAGCATTTGGGAGACTGAGGCTTTCATATGTACCTTTTTCAGGAAATATATCCTGAAAGTCATTTCATACAATAGTTTTAATTTGTATATAAAGCAGGGCTTTTATAATGTGAAATGGTATCATTTGAGCCCAGTGGTTCAAGACCAGTCTAGGCAATACATTGAGATTCCCACCCCAGGAGGGACTAGAAAACAACTAATAAAAAAGATTTCCCCAAATTAAAGCAAACAAAGAGATTAAGCATCATTAATTAAAAAAAAAATCTGAAATGCTGCAAAAGCTGAAAGTTTTTGACCACCATGGTCAAAACTTGGTATCACAGGTAGAAACTTTCATATTATAAAGCCCTGCTTTATGCACAAATTAAAACTATTGTATGAAATGACTTTCAGGACATATTCCTGAAAGAGGTACATATGAAATAAATTAACTTTGGGTATAGAACTTGGGTGCCACATCCTCAAGATACCAGTCTATAGGTACACCAGTATCTATTCCCACCCCAGGTTGGAAGGTAGTGACACCTACCTTTGGTCCCAGCACTTGGGAGGTAGATCTCTAAATTTGAGGCCAGGACAGCCAGACAGAGAAACCTTGATTTGAATCTCTTGCCCCAAACAAAACAAATTAAAACAAAACCAAGGAAAATTTGAATCACTTCTGGTCCCAACATTTCAGATAAGAGGTATTCAGTGTGTATTATCTAAATTATGTATGGGTTGGGATGAGTTATCCTGAGGCAAATTCTCTCTAGCTAAGAACTATGTAAGTTACACGCTTCCAGGAAACCATGGATAGATATTTTCATTCCAAAAGAGAGAAATTGGAAAAAAGGGAGGCAGCCAGGTGCCAAGCAAACATAAATCACAGCGAGAGTACTAGACGTTGTGTCCCATGCTTGCAGTACCATCCTTTGGGAGACTGAACCAGCTACTGTTGTGAGTTCCAGGGCATCCCAGACAAGCCCCAACACAGAGATACAGACACCTTTAGCAGGCCAGCTTCTCTCTACTTACTATGCAGAGAAGGATCTGGAAAAATAGTCAAAGAAGAATGGCTTTTAATGGGTGAGTACCTAGATGTCTAAGAAATGAAGTCTCAATCTCAATTTGTCAGTGTGTGCGCGCGCAGGCAAAGGCTAGAGCAGGACATCAGCTGTCTTCCTCCACTGCTCTCAGCCTTACTGCGTTGAGACAGGGTCTCTCACTGAATCAGAAGTTCATTTTTTTTTTTTTTGCAAAACTTTTGGGATCAACCTGTCTTCCCTCCCCAGTGCTGGTGTTACAAACACCCGAAGCCATGCTTGGATTTTATGTGGGTCCTGGGGATTCAAACTCAGGTCCTGATGCTTGCAGAGCAAGCACTCTTACCCACTAAGCCTCGTCTTCCCAGCCCCAGAAATGAAATCTTCTAAGATTCCTCTCTGGCTGCTCTACAGTGTCTTGTTTGGCTGCACACACTCTAACAATTGGTTGTCATATGTTAGATGTACTGAAGGGGACTCAGTTCAGCATGCCCAAGCGCTGTCATGATCCAAGTGCATTTTGGGAGGGAACAACTAGAGAATCTGGGAAGGACAAAACAGAATCTGGTGAATGAATGTGAATACTACGGCTGGATGGGGGAAAATGTTAATGAGATTATGAACAGTGTAAGCTGGCTAATTATGATGGTGGGAGGTTAAGGATGAGTAAAACGATGAGTCTTAACTCCTCTCATCTCAAAGGCATTTTAAATTAGCTTAATAAACCCTGGGAGTGTGGGGATGAGTATAATTCACACCACCCTTAGACTTAGAGATAGCTTATCTCCATTTCAAAATCAATGACTGCGTTGTCCCTACCTCTGTATTTTTGCCTGCACCTGACAAAAGGAAAAGGTTGAGATTCTGTGCCAGAGAACTGGGTTGTCTAAAATAAGGCAGCAGCTGCTTCGTAGTTCGCCTTGCTTGGTGTGAGGGCTAAATAAAAAAGGTAACGTGGTGAAGCATTTGGCACAGCGCACGCAGCGCATGTGGACATCAGGTTCCGCCCACGCTCTTCCTCCCCGGCATGATCGCTGCAGAAAAGCCACCCACTGAGCCGAGGGTCCTTTACGATGACCGCTCGGACAGCCCAGATGACTCAGAGTATTGCCTTCCGCAGCCCACATTTCGCAAAAGCCAAGTGTGAGGGGCAAGCTAACTTCTCCTGGACAAAGGGTGCCCAGGCAGCCGGGGCGGCTCTAAGTGACAAGCCCCAGAGTTATTTCCTAAGGTGGCGGCGATCCCAGGGTCCGGGTAACGGGCCTGCCAAGGAGGGGGCGGGGCGACTCCAGGTTTGGGAAAGGCCACCCCACTCCTGGGGCTTCCAGCAGTCCACGTCCTACGGCAAGCAGGAGGAGACAAACGCCGCCCCTCCTCGCCCGCACCTTCCTGGCTCGCCATCGCGGCCCCGGCTCTCCCGTGGACGCTCGGCCGTGGGTGTGTGTGTATGCGGGGGGCGGCTCTGCGTGTGGCTCAGCTCGGCCTCGGCGCCCAGTTACCTTCGTGGCCTCGAAGCGCCGCGCTTCGCGATCCTGCCGCGCCGTCCCCCCTCCCTGAGCCGCGTCGCCAGGCGCTTCCCAGAGGGACGAGGGAAAGCCCGGCGGCCCGCGAGAGCGGGAGGCGGG